CTTTTTTGTGATATACAACAGTGAGGTAGTAGGCTTGTGTATCACAAAAATATCTCCACCCACAGCTTATTTTGCCTCCAGCTGAACAGTGCCTAGCATAGGTAAACTTGTGTGATTAGGTTACCTTCCTTCAATCCTTGCTATGTTTTTTTTTTTTTTTTTATCCTCACCCGAGGATATTTTTCCATTTTTTGTACAGATAGAGTGGGAGGGAGAGAGAGGAAGGGAGAGAGAGAGAAACATCGATGTGAAGGGACACATCGAGTGGCTGCCACCCGCACGACCAACCAAGGCCGGGGACAAACTGCAACCGAAGTACGTGCCCTTAGCGGGAACCTAACCCGGGTCTCTCCGGACCGCAGGCCGACGCTCTAACCGCTGAGCCAAACTGGCCAGGGCCTTGCTATGGTTTTTTACATTATTCCCCCACCTACACAGTGCCCCTTTCCTCAGAGCGTCAGGGCGCCAATGTCTTCTGGGACTACTAGATGCCAGCACCCGGGGAGGTCAGAGGAACCTCGGATCTATCCACACAAGCTTATTCTTCTCCAGAGACTAGCACCTCCTGCTCCTCCCTCTCATTCCCTTCCTAGCCTGACCGAGGTTCAGGCTCTCATCTACTCAGCCCAACATTCAACTAAAACTCCCTCTTTGTCCCATGAAGACTTCCATATATATACAATTGGGTTTGGGGGTTCATAATAATCTCAGTACAAATTTCCATATTGTGATTCCCTAACTTACATTCTGAAACATGTAATTATGAGACATGTGTAACTTCTACCTCTGATAATGCAGTTTCTGGGAAAGTGGGTCACTAGACTATGTTCTTTGTTAACAGAAGCATTAACTATGCCACGAACATTCAAGCAGGGGTCTACCTACCTGTTCTAGATACAAACTGGAATCTATAAAAATCACTAGGTGATAGCCACATGTTTTTAACTACGTGTCAATACTTGAAACAAGCTAAGAAAGTAAACAAATGCACAAAATGAACCATCTTGGTCTTTCAAAGTGTGGATAAACTCTCTAGATTGTAACCAACAAATATGCCTTTCTCCACTTTAGGATTATTATTATTTTTTTTATCCTCACCCGAGGACATTTTTTTCCATTTTTTTGTTCAGATAGAGTGGGAGGGGGGGAGAGAGAGAGAGAGAGAGAGAGAGAGAAACATTGACGTGAAAGGGACACATCGAGTGGCCACCACCCGCATGATCAACCAGGGCTGGGGACAAACTGCAACCAAGGTACGGGCCCTTAGCAGGAACCGAATCCGGGTCTCCCTGGACTGCAGGCCAACGCTCTAACCATTGAGCCAAACCGGCCAGGGCCACTCTAAGATTATTTTAATCTTTTCAAGCAAAGGAAAATCTAATGTATGGCATAGCCTAGAACACGACTCTATTGAGGTTAGCATTAACTATCTTTGTTGTTTTTTTAATCCTCACCTGAGGACATTTTTTTTTTGCATTTATCTTGAGACAGAGCAGGAGGAAGAAAGAGAGAGAAACATCGACATGAGAAAGACTCATCAAGTAGTTGCCACCCACACAGCCCCAACCACACAACCCCAACCGGGGCCGGAGACAAACTGCAACCAAGGTACATGCCCTTAGCAGGAACCAAACCCGGGTCTCTCTGGTCCACAGTCCAATGCTCTAACCGCTGAGCCAAACTGGCCAGGGCTAACTATCTTTGTTTTATGGACACTTCATCAGTCCATACATAATTCAACCCAACCTCACAAAACTCTTCCACTACTCATTAACCAATAAATAATTGTAATCAAAAAGATTTTGTTGAGCATGATGTCTTATCATACTGAAAAGATGACTATATTTACTAAGTTATTCATTCTTCAGGTTTTTTAATAGAAAGGATTTGTAGTGAAAGCTTTTTATTACATAAGCTATCTTTCAGTTCCTTGTCAGGCAATTCAAACATGCTGAAAGACCTGACTGACAGGCCATAAAATTTCACAAAACTATAGCTTATAAATTAAAAAAAAAGATATAGCAGCCACAAGAGACATTAAAAAATGCTCAATGTCACTAATCATCAGAGAGATGCAAATTAAAATGACTATGAAGTACCACCTCACACCTGCCAGAATGGCCGCCATCAACAAATCATCAAACAACAAGTGTTGGCGAGGGTGTGGAGAAAAGGGGACTCTAGTACACTGCTGGTGGGAATGCAGACTGGTGCAGCCACTATGGAAAACAATATAGTGTTTCCTCAAAATATTAAAAATTGAACTGCCCTTTGACCCAGTGATTCCATTTCTAGGAATATATCCTAAGAAGCCTGAAACACCAATCAGAAAGAATATATGTACCCCCATGTTCATAGCAGCACTATTTACAATAGCTAAGATCTGGAAACAGCCCAAGTGTCCATCAATAGATGAGTGGATAAAAAAGCTGTGGTACATATACACAATAGAATACCATGCAGCTATAAGAAAGAAGGATCTCTTACCCTTTGAGACAACATGGAGGAACCAGAGAGTATTATGCTAAGTGAAATAAGCCAAGCAGAGAAAGACAAATATCACATGATCTCACTTATTTGTGGAATATAATGAACAAAATAAGGTGATGGACAAAATAGATCTAGAAATATGGAAGTAGGGAAGACTGACAAATCTCAGAGGGAAGGGGTGGGGCATGGGAAGAGATAAACCAAAGAACTTATATGCATGTATGCATAACCAATAAACAGACAACAATGCAGTGAGGGCCTGGGGGGGGAGGGCGATGAGACACATAGGAGGGGGGAGGAGGGTGTCAAAGGGGGGAAAAAGGAGGGACATCTATAACAAAATTAAATTAATTTTTTAAAAAGCTATAGCAGCCTCAATTTTAGGAAGCTCACATCTGTGACACATGATGAAGATCAAGCTACCATTTCTCAATATCAAATTATAAAATTGCCCTGGCCGGTTTGGCTCAGCGGTTAGAGCGTCCGCCTGCGGTCCGACCCGGGTTCGGTTCCCACTAAGGGCACGTACCTCGGTTGCAGTTTGTCCCCGGCCCTGGTTGGTCGTGCGGGTGGCAGCCACTAGATGTGTCCCTTTCACATCGATGTTTCCCTCTCTCTCTCTTCTTCTCTCTCCCTCCCACTCTATCTGTACAAAAAATGGAAAAATGTCCTCAGGTGAGGATAAAATAAATAAATAAATAAATAAATAAATAAAATAAAATTAACAGTGTTCAGTATCTTTAAAATAAAACCCTTCAAAATTGCTATTTCTAGCACTCTTTAAAAATGTTACAGCCAATTTATTCTCTTTTAAGTATAAAATTCATTATTAAATGTGGGGGTACCATTACTTTTATAAAATAATTCAAGATTTTTTGTGATTTGATTATATGTCATTTTCCCTCAAAAGAAAAAAAACTGAAGTATTTAAAGGGGAATGTACTGATATCTGCAATTCACTTTGAAATGCATCGAAAAATAAGATAGAACAGATGGACAGATACGTGATTATAAAAGTAGAGTAAAATGTTAATTGTAGATTCTTGGTGGTGGGCATATAGTCTTTCACCTTTTCTGTATATTTGAACATTTTCATGATATAATGTTGGAAACAAAAAAAGCTTAATATCTCTAAACTTGATGCTTTGTGCTCTTAAGATTAAGAACTGGTAGAAAACATAACAGCGCAATATTATTAATACAGTATTATGATAACCATGTAAAATATACATAGAAAAATAACAAAAGGAACTGTACTAGAATATTAATAAAATTGTCCTAGGGTAGTAGGATTATAAATTATTTTCCCACCTCTATTTGTCTAACTTTCTATGCCATAATTGTATCTGTAAATGTTTTAATGTTTTATATGCACATATAAATATACATATGTATATTTAAAAATATTTTTGCAAGTACAAAAAACAAACAACAACAACAAAAACGAGGGCGGGGGACTGCCATACCCAACTTTAAGAAAAAGAACAAAATTTAAAAAAAAAGAAAAAGGACTTTGGGTTTACCTAACTTCCTGTCACATCCTAAGCTTGGGTTTTGTTTTCCCTTGTTTTTCATTCAAATACAGGTATGTCAACTGTAAACATAAATGTACCAAATTAATGTGGTCCATCACTCTTGTTTTTGATTCAAATACAGATATAGGAATCAACTGTGAACATAAATGCACCAAACCAACATAGTACATCACTTTTTATTCACATACTGGTAGTGTATTAAAGTAATGAACAGGCTTAGCTGACAAAGCCAACTACAGTGCCTTATTCTTCTCAGAATTCATAGAGAGAGGTAACATTCATAACATAAGAAAGCATGCAAACCACTTTCGGAGAATATAACCTATTATGACAGTAGTCTATCTTTTTAAAGAATCATTAGAGCTAAACCAAATATCTTATAAACAGGCCTCTTTCCAGACTCGTCTAATTTCCTCTACCTAGGAGAATTGAGTAGGTTGAGCCCGTCTTTTTGAGATGGCAGCAAGAACCATGTTAAGTCACATAGATTTGAGACCTAGGCATTCCAACTTAAACAAGTTGCTCCATATCTCAGGGCCTCACTCTCCTGGCTCTATAAAAATCAGAGACAACTAAGGTCCCTTCCAGGTAAAAAAATTCTCTGAATTTCAGGCAACTGGGAAAACAGGCTCTGAGAAACTGAGCAAGGAATAGGTCTCCTTGAACTCTATGCAGCCTATCCCTGGATACAGAAAATCTGGCAGCATAATAACACCCAAATTCAAGAGGAACAACTCCATAGAATGTTCTGCCCCCCAAAACCATCTTAAGATACGACATGGAAACAAGCAGATCAGCTCATATTACTAATCATGAGATTCATCCTCATTACAGGGCTTTTTTGAAAAAAGTCTAGGTAATCCTTCTCCCTTGATGGACTCTAAAGACACTATTAATTTCATTTTCAAAGCTTTAAATAAAGGTGGCAAAAATAGTCAGAGAACCAATATCATTAAGAAAAAACAAAGATAATACCTGGATGTATTTACTACTTTCTTCACATCTACTTTAACTATAAGTGATTTCTTCTTGAGAAAAGTCGAAAGTTTATTTTCTTCCAGGGGGGTACCAGGAGAGCTGGTCTCCTTTTTGCCATCCCCTTCATTCTTTATTTTCTTCTCCCGTTTGTCATCACTGGGTCTCGAACCATCATCACTTTTATGTGAGTGAGTAGAGGCAGAGCCGTCTTTCTTAGATGGTTGAGAAGGTTCTTTGCCTTGCCCATCTTCAGTCTCTCTCTCTCTTCCAGCATTAAAACTGGACTCCCGATGCACAGGGTCACTTTGAGAAGTGTGTTTTCTGTCTTCCCCCTTAGAGTATTTCTGAGTTCTTTCACTGGAAAAATCCTGCTTTCCATCTGAGGTCTTAGAACGTTTGTGGCGATAGTCACCGGATATCTTGGTTGCTGAACTGGTCTCTGAGGATTTCTTGTGAACATGTCGAGAAGTGTGCTGTCTATCATAAGGTCGGAGGGAATGCCTGGACTTCCACTCTGGTTTTCTGAAAGACTTTCTGTCTTCATACCTCTCCACGGAGGGAGATCTTTTTGATGTGTGTCCATGTTTTCCATATTCACGATCCTCGGTATACCTGTGGTGACATAAAGCAGTTTATACTTGGCACTACAGAGAAGAAAGCGAGAACTTATATGCGTGGAGTGTTGGGTAGCATGGCTTTAAATGCAGAATGCAGAGGCAAAGTTACCCTAGAATCCTTTAAGCCATCTCAAAGAGGCTCGAGGTAGTTAGAGAGGAAATGCCATCTTATTTTTCAATATTCTAGCCATGCACACGATTTACTCTAAAAAGAAATACTTTACTACCAGTAGACATAACTACATTACAATGCTTTTTTTTTTTTTATCTTTTCAGACAAAAGCTTTTCAAGGTGGTTATCTTCGACTTATAGTTTATAACACACCTTTTCACTTGAAGCTTTATACCAAATCACCCAGGTTTAATGTTTTCCTATACCTCGTGTGAAAAGAGCTCCTTTTCTCAAAATCTTCAGAGATTCTTCTAAATGACTGAGAATATTTTTCATCTTGTATCCTCTGGTAACTCAACTCATCTTCAAGCCACTTTCCTTCGAATCTAAAATAATCTGCTATTGACCTCTGAGGTGATTCCCCTCCTTTTCCACTTCTTCTAACTCTGTGGTCATCATGAATATACCTTCCTTGCATTTGCTGAGGGTAACAATCACACCGATACTCTTGGTAGTGTACATTTTCTGAGTATCTGGGCATATAATGAGATCTTCTGTTACCGTCCCTTCTTTCTGGTGAATATACTTGGTAAGGCTTATAAGAATAGAAATAGTCTAAAGAGCTTCTTCTTATGTTTGGAGAAGGTGATCTATGTTCATAACATCGATAATGTGTATGTCCATGAGAAGGAATCCTTGGTTTACTCTGTCCATGTTCCCTATTGTACATTCTCCAAGGGGATCTTTTCGAATCCTTCCTATAGTCAGAGCCATAATACTCATGAGAATATCTTTGCTTGTAGTATTCAGACTTTCTAGGTATTGGTGATAAATACCTATGTAAACAAACACAAAAAAGTTTAGTTCATTTAAAGACAATAAATTAAGTTTGTCTTAACATGACTTACCCAAATAAAAGATTTGTGTTGTACTGTTTCTTCAACTCAAATTAAATTAATCAGTTTGCTATGTCTGCATTCTAAATTGTCCATGTGGGGGTCTGATTATGCTGGTCCTAATTCAACAAGCATAATCTTTCCATCTGAACTAATGTATCCCATGTGCATATTAAAATGAACTGAACACACCCATCCTGTTGGAGGACAAGCTTAGGTACACAGCCGGATCCATTTTGGAAGGTTGATGACAGCAAAGTTCTGGCAAAAGGATCGGTCAGCAAGAGCTTACATGAGGTTCAATGTTCAGGTAAGAAAAAAGCAGAAGGACACCGTGGTTGGGTGGCTCAGTCGCTTGGAGTGTCACTTCATACACCAAAAGGTTGTGGGTTCAACTCCCAATCAGGGCGCATATCCAGGTCGCAAGTTCAATCCCCAGCTGGGGCGTGTATGGGAGGCAATGATTGACGTTTCTCTCTCTCTCTCAAATCAATAAAAATATTTCCTCGGGTGAGAATTAAAAAAATAAAAAGAAGAAAAAAGAAAAACACAGAAGGAGGGCTGGATTCATACAAATAAATATGTAGGAGACTCTGGCAAACTGAACATAACCTCTAAAATTAAATTCGATTCTAAGAGTTTGATACTACATAAACTCAAACTCAGACCCAAAACTGCCTCCATAGTTTCTCCAACTGTTTATTCTCTCTACTAAGGCCATATTAAAGAGCAAAAAAAAATACATACTTAAACAGTACGTGGAGGTCAGGGAAGAAGAGGGTCTTAAGACTTGAATCTCATGCTTGATGACTCCATAAATACTACTGACATAGGTAAGTTGCTTTTCTCTCCCAGACCACTTCCCTTACACACAAAATAAAAGCTGTGTTGCTGAAACAGAGCTAGTAACTTCTATGAATGTGTGCTTTTATGCTGCTATAATGCTCTCCAGGCACAACACATCCTTTCTGTAACTCTAACGCCTCAGCATTGCCAACATCGAGCCTTCCATTCCCACTGAGGAGGAAGACTAATGTATCCAGGGAAACCAGTCAGTCTAAGTTGCCTAGATTTCAGGATAAGAGGGAAGAGCACCACTATCTGGAATACATCGAAGTACAATTCTGCACCTGGGGACATTTCCTCCCATCGAACCTGGGCAATCTCCCCATCTCCTCCCTGAGGGTTTTATTATCTTCTAATCAATGAGGCTGCTACCCTTGCTGCTTTTGTTATCACTTTGTCTTCAGATGCTGTCCCAGAGTTGGAACAACCATGAGTAAAACTCTTTCCACTTGGTGACCTGTCTGTGTACTCCCTACAAGAAAAGAGGCAGATTTAGCTCCCTCACGTACATACTGGGATTTATATACTGGACTCGGCAATATCTCCTTCTACAATCACCAAGCTACATGTACTGGTGAATGTGTTATTTAGCTGAAGCAGAAGCTGTCATCCAGCTGGCTGCACCTCATCAACACAGGGAGAAGCAACTGGGGGGCCTCTGAGGACTTCCTGGAAGATTTCATTTCTTCCACCGCTAGGGAGCAACGCTGGCGGCCAGAGGCCGAGGACTTCCAGACTGGACAAAATAGTCAATCTCTTACTTTAATTCATACTTCACATTGAATACACTTTGATATTCTATTTCACTTTAAGGTTTTATTGCATAGTGCCCCTTTCTTCTGAGGGAGATTGCTGGAATGGTTGCTATTATTTTCAGTTCTCCTAAAGGGAAGAAAGAGACCCAAGGAGTCTGTTGGGAGATAATTCTCCATGGGTCTCTCCTACTCTACACACCTTGCAAGCGGAGGCACCGACAGCTTTTGTTCCAAGGCAAACAGCCTGGGAAGATGGAGCCAGGGCCTCCCTCAGGGACAGAGGGCTGATTTGTTTGCTATCCAGGATAATACGATAATGTCTCCTCTAAGACCAAAGCCCCTCCGGGGACTTGGGTTCCTCAGCTATGTCTGGGACTTGGGTTCCTCAGCTATGTCGTCACTCCACTGTTTCTTCTGCAAGACCTACCCTCAGGGGGTCGGGGGGTGAGGGGAACACAGGGAACAGGAAGCTCAGGCTGTGTGCTGTACTATGAGAAATAAAGACCTTTGCCTCTGCTCCAGGAGCACCTTGTTATAGGCTCACGTGTTAGCTTGCAAGTCGGGTAAAATATCAGACCCTTCATAATTTTTCAGAGTCCTAAGAAGGAATCTGGAAATCAAGCACTAAGCTTGGCAGATTCTTTTGTGCCCCCTCACCAGGGCCTGCCACAAAAGGGTGACACAAAATGACCTCTGTGATGCCCTCTATGTTAAAATCATTCGCTTCTTCACATGCCCCATTTTTGAAGATCCTCCCCACTACAACCTGGTCTTGTAAACTCCACATTAATATTGTTGAAGAAATGATTGATTAGTCATTGTAGAACCACAATGAAACAAGCACAATGGCCAAGTCTCATATTAACGTGAAAAATCTTGGTCTGGCCCAGCCGGTGTGGCTTGGTGGACTGAGCGTTGACCAAAGCACCAAGAGTTGCTGGTTTGATTCCCGGTCAGGGCACACGCCTGGGGTGTGGGTTCGATCCTCACCAAAAGGCGTGCAGAAGGCAGTCCATCAGTGCTCCACCCTCACGTTGATGTTTCTCTCTCTCTCTCCCTCTCGAATCAATAAAAACATTAAAAAAAAATCTTTGTCTGCCTTTTGTGTATGTAATTATGGTCCTTTTTATGAGCTTTAGAAGGCACTAGTCACTTTCACAGCTCTGTGCCTTTGTTCCTGTTGTCCCCCTTACCTGGCAAACTATTCTCTCCTCCTGCCTTAAGAGATTTTACTCATCTTTAAATGACCAGCTAATTTCATCTCTTTTTGAAGACTTTCTTAGTATCCCCCTCCCCCCTCCACAAAAGCAGAAGTATTCTCTCCCTGTGGATTCAGAATACTCTGTCTCACTCAGTAGCATCACATTTTCCCCCCCATCTCATAGCTGGCTATGGTATCAATCTCCCCAGCCAGCTTGGGAGCTTGCTAAGGGCCATTAAGGTGTTGTATTTGCCTTTGTAGTCCCCGAAATTGCCTATAGCAGGTATACAATAAAATTAGTAGAACTGTTGCAATCTAATTATATATATACACGTTTGATACTACCAACCAGGAAAAAGGAGAGCTGAATGACCTCAGTTATTCAAAACTCTATTATTCTGCCATGAAGAAGAAATAGGAAACTCCCAATTTTCTAACTCCCTATGTCTCCAAACATATTGATTATGCGAAAAATAAAATACACACTGAAAAGTTCTAAACCACTTACTAATGCAAAATATAGAACACTCTCAAAGACGTTTCTCACTCTCCCTTGCTGTGGTCATTGCATTTCTTTTTACTATAGATTAATTCTAGCTGCCAGCCATAATTAAACTGTCAGCCCTGGCCAATTTGGCTCAGTGGTTAGAGTATTGGCCTGTGGACCAAAGGGCCACAAGTTCAACTCCCGGTCAGGGGCACATACCTGGGTTGCAAGTTTGATCCCTGGCCCTGGTCAAGGTCATGTAAGAGGCGACCAATCGATATGTCTCTCTCACATCAATGTTACTCTCTCTCTCTCCCTCCCTTCCACTCTATCTAAAAATCAATGGAAAAATATCCTTGGGTGAGGATTAACCAAAAAAAAAAGAAAACTGCCAGCTCCTAGAAATACAACTTCAATTACTGTAAAGCACTTACGATGAATAACCATGTCCCATGAGCTCATTAAAATAGGTTCTTAATAATACTGGTGAATTTGAAAGTCAAAGTATATCTCAAATCCAAGCTTGCCCTGCTAAGCTAAGAATTGCTCACCTGTATTTCCACCTGGGGGATCTAGAACGTGACTGTGCCATTCCGTGACATGTAAGCCACTATCCACTTTTTACACTGAAAAGAAACACAATATTAGCAAGTTTGTAGAAAGAGTCTACAATCTGCTCTAAAAACAGTGAATGTCACCGACAAAAAAAAAAAAAATTACTTAAGCCCTCTGTGCCTCAGTTTCCTCATGTGTAAAATGAGGATGAGGACCCACCTTATCGTAATGTTGTGAGGATAGAAATGAATTGAATCAGGGGTGAGCAAACATTTTCTGCAAAGGGCCAGCTGGTAACTATTTTAGGCTTTACGGGCCATATACAGTTTCTATGCATCTTCTTCTTTTTTTAAATAACCCTTTAAAAATACAAAAACCATTCTTAACTCAAGCCCCCCCCCACACACACACACAAACAGGCCCCAAACACCAAATGCAGTATAGTTTGATGATCCCTGAGTTGATTCATGAAAAGAGCTTAGAATAGTGCCTGGCACAGAGCAACTGCCAAGTAAGTGTTCCAAAAAGGGGGAAAAATTACCCAGAATTATTCTGAATACAACCACTACTACCCTCCTGTCTTTCACCATGTACAAAGACACTTCATATAATCACAGTTAAAATGTTTAAGAATACTTGATGATAGCTCCTGCTTTTAAATGGTCAAATAATAAGAATTACAATGCTCAATTATAATTTTCAAGTTTACCTAACTTCCACCAGGTAAATATATCAAAACTTAATTAAGCATGATTAAACATTCGGCTTGCTTCTGATTTTGGTTTTGGCTAAAATATGTCAAATAAGTAAAATTTAAAAGATACAAACTTGACTTAAAAAAATATATACTTCAGTCTTGCCCTGGTGGGGTGGTTCAGTTGGTTGGAGTACTGCCCCGTACACCAAAGGGATGCAGGTTCAATTCGTGGTCAGGGCACATACCTAGGTTGTGGGTTCGATCCCAGGTCAGGCTTCCTATGGGAAACAACTAACAGATATCTTTCTCCCTTCCTCTCTTTCTAAAAAATCAATAAATTTGTTCTCGGGTGAGGATTATTTATATATATATTTCAGTCTTTAAAAGAAACTGATAGCTTTAGGGACTGAATTTTAAAAACGCGTGATTAGGGTATAATCTATACTACCTATTATGTATATTTCAGTAACCCTCCTTAGTTCTGATACTATAATTAAGTAGTTCTGAACTTACTGGCCCCAAACCTCTGGTGACTTTCAAGATTATTGCCATGGGTCCATGAGTAATACATACATCCACCATGCACGTATGTAATATATGTCTCACATATTATAACCTCTATTTTACAAATTTCTGAAGATACTGTGGTGATTGTTAAAATATAAATGGCTTCGCCTGGCCGGTGTGGCTCAGTGGATTGAGTGTCATTCCATGGATGGAGAGGTCCCAGTTCAATTCCCAGTCAGGGCATATGCCCGGGTTGCGGGCTCAATCCCCAGTAAGGGGGAGTGCAGGAGGCAGCTAGCTGATTGATGTTTCTCTCTCTCTCTCTCCCCTCTTCTCTAAAAAGATCAATAAAAACATATTTAAAAAAATATATATATATATATATATATATATATATGGGGCTTCTTGCCACCATATAGTTTTTTTACTGACTGATATAGAAAGTACAAGTATCATTACGCTGATATCGGTTTAAAAAGGGATATCTGGTCGGTGCCGCTCAGTGGTTAGAGCGTTGGCCTGCACACCACAGGGTCACCAGTTCAACTCCCAGTCAAGGGCATGTACCTGGGTTGCAGGTTCGATCCCGGTCCCAGTCAGTGAGCATGCAGGAGGCAACCAATCGCTGTCTCTCTCTCATAGGGCTGTTTCTCTCTCCTTCTCTCTCTCTCCCCTCCCTTCCTTCTCTCTAAAAAAAAAAAAAAAAAAAAATCAATGGAAAAAATATCCTCCGGTAAGGATTAACAAAAAAAGGGGGGGGGGGGGTCTTTACGGTCAGACATTTGCAAACTATTGTCATAATGAAACTCAGAAGAAAGTAAAAGCATATAAAGTCAAAGGACTTAAATCAGATCACTCACCAGAAGAAGCACATTCAGTTCAATTCATTCAATTATTACACTGCTTCATTCCGAAACGAATTTGAGGCTAGGAAGAAGAATTAGTTCAGATGTACTAAGAAATTAAGATAAGGGGGAAATATTTACTACTTCCTAACTAAAAATATCAAAATGCATTCCTTCAAGAAATGTTACTGAGTACCTATTATCTGCCAGGCACTGTTCTGAGGATACAGCAGTGAACAAAAATAGGCAAAAAGTTCTGCCATCTGAACCTTACATTCTACTGAAGGAACTTATAATTTGACTAAAGAAGCTTTGGATATCAGTTCATTCCTATTAAACTGAACAAAAATAATAAACCTAAAGGTTGTGTGGGGTGAACACCAAATAGTCTTGGTGATAATGAAAAAGCATTTTTTTTCCTGGAAAGTAATCTTATTTTCCATTTTATGTTTTTGAAAAATAGGTTTATTTAGATATAATTCACATACCATACAATTCACCTATATAAAGTGCACAATTCAACATTTTTTAGTATATTCACAGGAATGTACAGCCATCACAATTTAATTTTAGAACATTTTCATCCCCTCTAAAAGAAACTCTATTAGCAGTCTCTCCCCCTTCTTTCCCTCCTTTGATAAGTCCCTGCCTGACAACCACAAATCTACAAATCTACTTTCTTTCTTTCATTTATTTATTTTACAGATGTTTCTCCTTTTCCCCCCACTGACACCCTCCTCCTGATCCTGCCCACCCCCCCCCAACATTGTTGTCTATGTCCATTGGTTTCAAATCTCCTGTTTCTCTGGATTTGCCTACCACGGGCCTTTCATATAAATGGAATCACACAATATGTGGTCTTTTTTAACTGGTTTCTTTCCCTTAGCATAACATTTTCAAAGGTCATCCCTGTTTTACCACGTATCAGTACTTCATTTCTTATGGCTAAATAATATTCCATTTTATGGATATACCACATTGTGTTCATTCATTTATCTCTCAATGGACATCTGAGGTGCTTGTTTTTTTGGTTATTATACATAATGCTGTTATGAATATCTGTGTGCAAGTTTTTGTATGGACATGTTTTTATTTCTCTAGTGTATATACCTAGGAGTGAATTGCTGGGTCATATGATAACTCTGTTTTACTTTGAGAGACTTACACATTTTTCTAAGCAGTTTCTTCATTTTACATTTCCACCAGCAACATTTCCACATGTTCACCAACATGTGTTACTGTCTGTGTTTTTTATTATGGCCATCCTAGTGGGGGTGAAGTGGTACCTAAACTGTGGTTTTGATTTGCATTTCCTTAATGATGAGGCATCTTCAAATATGCAAGAAATTATAACACTAATCTCGCCTACTTTCCTTTAATCTAATAATTTCAGTTTAAACTTATCATTCCAAGATAATAATTTAAAAGAAATAAGCAGCTATATATACTAAGATGTTTGTATCAGCTTTATGATAGGAAAGAAAACCACTCAAACTTATTACAACCCAAATGCCCAACAATCAGTAAGATTAAACAAATTTAAAATATGTACATCTAGTCCCTTCCTACCTTTCTCCCAGCCTTATGTGTGTCTTTTCCTCCACATATACCATACTACTTGCTTTCTCTGTAGGCCATGCTGTTTGTACCATATCGATGGCCTTCCCTCAGTCTGCCTGACAAATCCCTAAATCCCTATTCTTTTGGGACTCTTGGACCATCATATTCCTGGGGATTCTTTCCTTGACTTTATTTTTTTCCTTCTGAGTTTATTTGTTCTTGGGAATTCTGGGTTTATTCTGTAGTTATTTCAATACACTGTGATTATTTCAATACACTGTGATTATTTATTTATATAATTGTATTTATTTCAATAGGCAAAAGACTCCAGATAGCATATTACAGAACATAAACTCAGATGACTTACAGACATCTGATATGTTCAACCTCTTTAGTCACTGAGTAAATACAAATTAAGATCATAACCACCCCACACCCCTCGGATAGACCAAAAAAATAAAAAGAAGTTGCACGTTCTAGAGTGCTGGTGAGGATGTGGAACGATGGGAACTCTCATATACTGCTAGGTGAGTATACATAAGTATAATCAATTTGGAAGGGGCTGGCAGTACCCATTAAATTTGAGCATGCTCATATCCCATAGGCCCAGCAATTCCACTCAGGGATATGCCTTAGAGCAACGGTTCTCAAACTTTAGTGTGTATCAGAATTACCTGAACGGCTGGTTAAAACACAGATTGCTGAGCTCTACCCCAGGGGTGAGCCCCACTTCCAGCAAGTTTCCAGGTGATGCACACGACCATGCTGCTGGTCCAGGAACTACAGAGTCACTGGCTTAAAGAAATAGGTGGGGGTCACTTGGGAGAAAATGTTTCCAAGTGAGATTTACTGATTACATGATAAAGAAAAAGTGTGAGGATATTTTCCTTTGCTAATATTAAAATAAGCTTTATAGACATTCAAACTATTTACTCAAAATGGTTACATTCAAACTATTTACTCAAAATGGTTAAGTTTTGTTGCACACAAATTATACCCCAAAGCTATAAAACAACAACAAAAAACCCGAACAAGCAAGCTTTGAGTGAGGAAGATGCTCTATTTTAGATCAGGTATTACAGAGATGGTTGTACAGCTCTGCAAACATACTAAAAACCACAGAATCGCACACGTTAAACCTGTAAATTATATGTCACTAAAGCTGTTTCTTAAAAAGTTAACTTCACTTGCAATTGCTTAGTGCACATCAGCTAGTAATGAAAAGCACTGGCTCAGGGGCTTAATGGATAAGAGAGGAAAGTTTATTTAAGCCTTTGAGTCTGAGCTAAGAATGGTTTTTACCTTTTTAAAGGGTTGTGAAAAAAAAAAGAATATGTGACAGGCTATCTGTAGCCTTCAAAGCCTTAAACATTTACTATTTTAGGTAAATATTTTATTTATTGGTCCTTTACAGAATCAGCTTGCTGACCCCTGATTTAAACTAACTTACTTATGACTAGCAAAATTAATTAAAGGAACCAGCTTTAGAAAAGGGAGGGAGGGAGAGAGAGAGAGAGTGAGAGAGAGGAGAAAGAGAGAGAGGGACTGGAAGAGGTAAAGGGTGAAGAGGGAGAGAGCCAGGGAAAGTGGGAGAGAGGGCCCTGGCCGGTTTGGCTCAGCGGTTGGAGCATCGGCCTGCGGTCCGGAGAGACCCGGGTTCGGTTCCCGCTAAGGGCATGTATCTCGGTTGCAGTTTGTCCCCGGCCCTGGTTGGTTGTGCGGGTGGCAGCCACTCGGTGTGTCCCTTTCATGTCGATGTTTCTCTCTCTCTCTCTCTCTTCCTCTCTCTCACTCCCACTCTATCTGTACAAAAAATGGAAAAATGTCCTCGGGTGAGGATTAAAAAAAAAAAAAAAAGAAAGTGGGAGAGAGGGAGACAGAGAGGGAGAGGAAGAGGGGGAGAAAAAGAAAGGGAGATAGTGAGGGAGAGAGGGAGAGGGAGAGGGATAGAAAGAGAAAAAGAGGGAGAGGGAGAGGAAGAGTCAGAGGGAGGGAGGGAGAGAGGGGGAGACCAGGAGAGGGTGGAAGATAGGGAGGGGGAGAAAGAGAGAGAGAGAGAGAGAGAGACAGACAGAGAGAGAGAGAGAGACACTACGACAGCAGGTTTTGTGACTAGGGATAAAGACATGTCAATAAGAGAAAATAAATTTGTTTTTACTGCTACTTCAGAGGAACTGCACAGGGCTAGAGGCAGTGAATGAACCCATCTGCCCTTATACATGAAATGATGGTTACTAAGCCCAGACTTCATAGCTCAGTTCGTTAAAGTGCTGTCCAGATATGCCAAGGTTGCGGCTTTGATGATCCCTGGTCAGGGCACATACAAGAAGCAACCAATAATAAAACAGACTGCTTGCACAATCACAAAGGTTTGAGAGACAACCAAAAGGTAGGGGAAAAAAACAAAAAGAGGCAACCAATGACTGCATAAATCAGTGGAACAACAAATCAATGTTTCTCTCTCTCCCTTCCTCTGAGAAAAAATAAAGATGATGACTGGACAGCAGGCGCGTCCACTCTCAGGTGGATGCTAAAGAGAATTCTGGTTCCATAGTGGCCATCCCTAGCAGGACAGCACTGGACACATCTCCCCCAGCTGAAGACCCAGCTTCAGCAGTTCTTTTTTGGCTCACAACAAGGTTCCCCTCTCCAATAGGTCCTTCCAGTCACCATAGAACCTCGGGCAATTCCCCCAGCTCTCAGGAACCACAGCCCTGGGGCTACCGACATATCTCTCCTTTTACAAGGAAATTTCTCAAAGGGCTGCCAGTAAACCAAAGCCATTCCCCCTGATTACTCCCTTTCCATTCTTTTTTTTGGGGGGGGGCTGGATTTGTTTATGTTGTGGCCATGGGGATGTGCATAACATGTTTATTTTAGTCATTCTTTACTAAAAAAAAATTCTATTACAGTTGACAATCAGTATTATTTTGTATTAGTTTGAGCTGTGCAGCATAGTCATTAGACAACCATATACTTTAGAAAGTGTCCCCCCTGATATTTCCAGTACCCAGCTGGCACCATACATAGTTATTACACTATCATTGATTATATTCCCTATACTGTGCTTTACATCCCTGTGGCTGTTTTGTAACTATCAATCTGTCCAATTAAAAAATGGGCAAAGGACCTGAATAGACACTTCTCCAAAGAGGACATACAGATGGCCAATAGACATATGAAAAGATGCTCAACATCACTAATCATCAGAAAAATGCAAATTAAAACCACAATGAGCCCTGGCCTGTTTGGCTCAGCGGTTGGAGTATCAGTCTGTGGACCGGAGAGTCCCGGGTTCAGTTCCTGCTAGGGGCACGTACCAAAAAAAAAAAAAACAAAAAAAACCTACAATGAGGTATCATCTCACACCTATCAGAATTGCTATCATCAATAGATCAACAAACAAGTGTTGGCCAGGATGTGGAGAAAAGGGAACCCTCCTCCACTGTGGGTGGGAATGGAAATTGACACAGCCACTACAGAAAACAGAATGGAGGTTCCTCAAAAAATAAAAAATGGAAATGTCTTTCCATTCTTGCTTGGTCCTTCACCAATCTGGCTTTCTACTCCACCACTGCAGCAAACTGCTCTAGTCAAGATCACTAATGAAATCCATGTTGTTAAATCCAATGGTTATGGCTCCTCCTCCTCCTGGACCTACTAACAGCACGTGACCATCATACCTTGGTCTCCAAAACATTTCCTCACTTGGATTTCAGAATACTGCACTTTTCAGGTTTTTCCCCTACCTGTAACAATTCCTCTATCTCCTTTGCTGGCTTTCTCATCTCCCCTGTCACCACCCTGACCCCTAAATCGCGAATCCAGTCTTCCTCTGAATACCGGCTTCAGTGTTTGGACTTCTCACTGTCTAGACTTTCTCCCCAGTGTACACGCTCATTCAGTTTCACGGCTTTAAATACTCTATAAACCAAGAATCGCCCTGGCCGGTTTGGCTCAGCGGTTAGAGCTTCGGCCTGCGGTCCCGAGAGACCAGGGTTCGGTTCCCGCTAAGGGCATGTACCTCGGTTGCAGTTTGTCCCTGGCTCTGGTTGGTCGTGCGGGTGGCAGCCACTCGATGTGTCCCTTTCACATCGATGTTTCTCTCTCTCTTCCTCTCTCTCCCTCCCACTCTACCTGAACAAAAAATGGAAAAATGTCCTCAGGTGAGGATAAAAAAAAACCAAAAAAAAAAAACCAAGAACCACCGATCCTCTGTGCTTCAATCGTACATATCCAGCAGCCTACTAGATGCTGTAAACGTGTCCAAGAACGAACGAACTGACCTCCCTCCACAACCTGCTCCTCCTACAGTCTGTCTCACCTCAGTCAATGGCAGCTATATCCTTTGAGTTTTCAACAAAGAGGAAACATAAATGTCCAACAAACATAGGAAAAGATACTCAACCTTACCTAATCAGGAAAATAAAATCAAAACAATAAGATACCATTTCATACTTATGAGATTTGCAAAACTTGTAAAGTCAGATATCCCAATGTGTTTATAAAAACGTGGAGAAATAATTTCTCAACTGAGGGAAATTCCTCCTCCCAAAAACCATAAAGCAGAAGAAAGTTCTAAGTCTGTAGTCCAAACAGAATAAATATAACTCAAAGCATTTAAGGATATATCTTTTAAAAACCTTACTTCGAATCATAAATTTTAAAATTAAGAACAGAAATACGTAGAAACACACAATTTGGATCACAAAACAAAACTCAAGGAGGTATATAAAAGATACAACTAAAACAAAGTGATTATGTCCTGGCTGGTTTGGCTCAGGGGTTAGAGCATCGGCCCACAGACCAAAGAGTCGCGGGTTCGATTCTGGTCAAGGGCATGTACCTTAGTTGCAGTTTGTCCCAGGCCCTGGTCAGGGTTGTGTAAGAGGCAACCAGTTGATGTGTCCCTTTCACGCTGATGCTTCTCTCTCCCTCCCTCCCTCCCACTCTATCTGAAGATAAACAGAAAAATATCCTCGGGTGAGGATTAAAAAAATAAAAATAAATAAATAAATAAATAAATAAATAAATAAATAAATAAAAAAAACAAAGTGATTCTGAAAGGTTAAAAGTAAAAGCCTGGCCAAAGTGTACCAGGCAGATGTTTCCAGAAGGAGAGCAGGGGTAGCAATCCTGGGATAAGGCAAGGCAGAATTCAAGCCCCAAAGCATGCATACAAAGAAAGACACTTTTTAATGCTTAAAGCCACAATTCATGATGAAGATAGAATAAATTAAAATTGACATATTCACATGAGTGTGACATAGCATCCACTTTTATGAAACAAAAACTACAAGAGATGCAAGGAAACATAGGTAGAAACACACTAATAATAGACTTTAATACAGCATTCTCAGTGGTATATTAGGTGACCCAAAAATAAGGAGATAGAACATCTAAATAGCACAACCAATAGGGTAAATGTTAAGGCTATTTATCAAACTCTACACTCTGATATTAGAGAATACACATTCTTCTAAAGTGTCCACACTACATTCACCAAAAATAATCATATATTAGATTACAAAGAAAACACCAGTAACTTCCATAAAACAGAAATATTACAAACAATAGTCTCTGATTATAATGCAATAAAACTAGAAGTTACTAACAAAAACAAACAAAAACAGAAAAGCCCTTCTACCTAGAAATTTTAAAACCTTCTATTAAATCACTCCTGTATTCTATAACTAAAATGATAATTTTTTAAAG